AAAATTAGTTTATAAATATAATTTTATTATTATATTTTTTCTACTTCCACCTTTTAAACTCCTATTATCGTACATGTTTCCATGACTCAAAGTAACCTTTTAAATACACATTGATAAGTTGTGGCTTTATGGGGTTTTATTCACAGGCTGAAGTTAGCTTTAAGTTAGTTGACAGTTGTCAAATGTCAGATAATCGATAAAATAAAGTACTGGTAAAATAATACTAAATGTGAAAATTATTTTATTATCGTAATACAAAAATTCAAAAGCATTAAACAGTTTCTCAACGCCAATATTTGAAAAGTTTATAGGATCATTTTACTGACCTTTTAATTTCGCCGAAAGTAAACTGGATATAACTTAAATTCGAGCTTGGACTCCACCGTAAAGTGCTCATAAAACAAGTTCTTTACTTTCACTGTGAAAAAATGTTGTTAATCGATTTTCAAGGAATACATTTCGATTCATAACCTTTATAACACTACTATTTTGACATTTGACGGCCCCTATTTTTATAGATGGCGCTCTATACAAATATTTGATTTAAATAATTTTAAGATAATAAGTATTTGACATAGAAAAAGTATAGCACTCGTTTATAAACTTTTCTAGACACTCATTAATTTAAGCACTCCCTCGCAAGCTCGCAAGCTCGCTAAATTAAATTTGTGTAAAAAAATGGCATTTATCAAACCTGATACATAATATACTATTAGATACATAATTAAAAAAGTCCAGGTAAGAGTGTTTTATGTTCCAAAGTGCGACTCCTGATCTAAATGACAAAGAGATTGTCATTAGGGCACTGCTGCGACCTTAAAATTGCTCCTTTATGCATGCCCATTATATTTTATTTTTAGCGTAGGACAAAACATGAGCGTTAAAAATCGGAGGCATTGTTTATCCGACTAACTCTGTCATTTTATACACTTCTGTTTGTCCACCTGTACACCCAGAATAATAGATATATCTTATTATAATGATAGATTCATGGGAATAATATTTTATTATATCATCAGATTAAAAATGCATTAGATTTAAGGGATAAAGCACTATTTGTTTTTTGGTTTAATAAAAAGCCATTAATGTTATCTTTTATTTTAGTATAGTAACTAAGTATACTATAATATAGTATATAGTAGTATATAAAATCGTCGACATATATTTTTTCCGTGGTTTTCAATTATTTCTCTAATAAACTTTTTTCATTTTTGTTGAAACTTATGATTTCAATTCTGGGAGAGAAGTTTTTCGAGATAAGGCGCCATCATCTGTGGTTGTAGTTGAAAATTTATGGCAACATTATACGCAATATATAACACCTGGTTGAACTACCGAATTATGCCGGAATTCTATTCTTATTTATAAAGTCATTTAAGTAATAAATTGTGCGAATCAGGGGCGGAAACGTTTATGAGGAAATTTATTTTTTCTTTCGTGCTTCTTAAGTTTTTAATAAAATCTTGCACTTGGTGATTTATTGCGAGAAACTTTGTTATTGTTACTGAAGTAAAATTTCCTTGGTGTATTTTTGGAAGAAATGTTAAAATTAAAAACAAATATGACTTAAAAGTTTTAAGTTAAAACAATTACAGGAAAAACTAAAAAACAATAAAAGATTATAAAACAAAAGAAAAAAGTTTAGGTAATAAATAATAAAGAGACTTTTTTCCTATGCAAAAAAATAATTAAAAAAAATATTACAAGATATTTTAAAATAAAGAAAAAATACAAAGAAATAATGCATAAAAATACAAAGAAACTCCTAAGAATCTCTCACCATTATTATCCCTGACACTAAGTGATCTTTTAAATACACATTGACAAGCTGTGACTTTATGGCCTTTTAGTCACGGGCTAAAGTTAGCTTTAAGTTAGTCGACAGTTATAAAATGTCATACAATCGTTTAAATAAGGTGCCCTTATTGTAATATATATAATATATATTATATATTTATCTCAATACAAAAATATAAAATTTCTTTACGCCAATATTTTATGCACGTTTTTACTGCCGGTACTTTTTAATTCTTTATCGGTAAATATAAGTTGTAAAATAAACTTTTAAATCGGTTGTTAGTCCATTTCATGAGATAAATTTTGATTTTAACAGAAAAATTTGACAACTAAATGTAATTTTAAAAGCCGGTAAAACAGATTCATACGTTTACTCTTTTTTTGTATAGATGTCGCCTTAAACAAAATTTAAATTAATTAGTAATCCATTGTTTTTATAACCAATAATATTTCTCGTAGAAAAATTCTAGTATGAAACTCGTTTATAAACTTTTCTAGAGATTTCTTTTATTAAAAACTCGCCGGTGGATGGTATTTTTGTTCGATGAGATTTAGGGATTCTTCTATGGGTACGTTGGCTACTAATACCCATAGAAGAATCCCTAAATTTCATCAAACAAAAATACCATCCACCAGACCACGTAATGGAACAAGACACTGCCTCAAAAACACATATTTCCTACACAACAAACAACGTTATAAACAAGTAGAAGGCGCACCAATGGGATCTCCACTGTCACCAGTGATAGCAAACTTATTCATGGAAAACAGAACAAAAAGCAATAGACACAGCTAAATGCAAACCCAAGCTCTGGTTACGATATGTGGATGATACCTTTGTAATATGGCAACATGGAGAGAAACCCCTCGAAAATTTCCTTGACCATCTCAACAGTCCGACAACCGACAACCAACTACCGTTCCTCGACGTCTTAATTAAAAAGAAACCGGATGGAAGACTGAGCCACACTGTATATTGAAATCCACCCATACAGACCGTTACCTCAACGCAGACTCATATCACCACCCAGCACAACTCAGATCAGTAGTTAGAACCTTAGTTATCAGATCACAAAGACTCGCAGATCCAGAAAACCTTAATCAGGAATTAAGCAAACTACGAAAGGCACTTCAACAAAATGGCTTCAAAAATCAAACCATTAACGACATAATAAAACACAGACAAACTAAACCACAGGACAAAGAAGACAAACCTATCTCCAAAGCTTACTTGTCATACGTTAAGGGAACAACAGATAAGATTTCAAAAATTTTGCGAAAACATGCTGTAGAAACATCATTTAAGACCGACAGAAAAATCAGCTCCATTCTACCAAATCCAAAAACGAAGATACCTTTAGAAAGCCAATGCGTTTACGAAATTCCCTGCTAAGGCTGCGACCAGACATACGTAGGACAAACAAACAGAAGGGTTAATGTACGAAAAGTATATAGAACATCAAAATGCTGTACGGAAAAATAAGAAAACCTCATTGATGGCACACCACGTCAGCACTACATCCCACAAGATACACTTTCAAAACACAAAGGTATTAGCCAACGTAGAACACCTGAAATCAAGAATTATAACAGAAGCCATAGAAATCGAGATCCGATTTTTAGTAGACACTGGGGCTGATCTGTGCGTATTCCCGTGTAAGTTCTACCGGGGCCCATGTGAAAAGTCCAGCTACAAGCTTTCCGTGGCCAATGGCACACGCATCGCGACTTACGGCCTAACGACGCTCACCCTCAATCTTGCATGGGCTGATACGAGATTTTTCGTGTAACTTTCTATTTGAGGATGTTTCTAAGCCTATCATTGGGGTCGACTTTTTGACACATTATGTACTACTTCCCGATTTAAGGAGCGGGCGTCTGCTGGACTCAGTCACAAGACTCACCCTGCAAGGTGAGGTGACTGAGTGTGAAGCTCCTAGCATCAGGACCAGGCTCTGCTGCAAGTTAGACGAGTCTAACTAACTCGAAGCAGAGCAGCAACAGCAGCCCAGCAGATAAGACCTGAAGATGGTACATGAGATTGTACCGAAACGTCGTCGTTTTAAGAACCAAAAACCGACAACACGGAGCAGATCCCGGAAAACCATTAATACATATAACGCCTGTGGAAACCTAAAGCAAAACCAAAACCATTTTCCACAAGTTGCACATATTATTTTGTCCTATATTCCAAAGAGTCATCAAGCAGTCTGCAAAAAATGAACGAAATAGGCGGTTTTTTAATCGTTAACGTATCGTAGTGTTAGTTGACCTGAATGGTATTGTTGACAGATTAGTGTTTGGGCTTTAGGGTTAAGTTTTTTACATTGTTTTCCGTGGTTTTCTTGGATTATTTTATTTCATAGTTTCACTAATAGAACTATGTTTAAATTGTTCAACTATTTGCACGTGTCAATCGCCTTTTTTTTAAAATCGGATGTCCCATTTTCACGTTTTTCTTAATTTTTACACTAAACTAAAAAGGCCCATTTTTTGTTTTATAATTGCACGTCTTTGGTAAGCAGCTAAACCTTTTTTGTCAATCTTTCCAACCAATTGATTTTAAAAAAAGTAGGTAGTTTTAGTCGCGAAATAGTTAAATTTTTAACCTTTAACCTTAAAACTATTTTGTAACAAGCTTTAAAAGGCAGAGAAATTAACTTCAACATTTTTTAGTAGCCCGGTGTAACATAACTTGTTGTAGATCAATCTTTTAATAAACCCACACGTAAAAGTGTATCAAATATTTTTTATCATTGAAGCAATTACCTACGAACGGCAAGTACGGTTATTTTCTGAACGATAGCATCACATATTAGTCAGAAATAATCATGGTATGATATTACAATAAAGGAATATTAAATGGCTGATTTGTATGATTAGATACACATTGACAAATGGGTACGATTTTATAATAAAGATTCTTGGCGCTCGAAGATTAGTTTGTAACGGCTTATGTCGCCTATGGATCAATTTGTGAACATTAGTGAAACCGTTAGCTTATTGTTCTACAATTACACAACGAAACTAACTTATGCAGTATGAACAGATAAGACTAATTATACACAAGTTGATAATCTACTAAAAAATAAAAAATAATCATTTTATCAATTTCGAAATGTGTAAAAAATATAGATAATAACACACTTTTTACAATTATTATAAAAACAATACTTGCATTAGTATATTTATATTAAATATAAATTTTATAAATATGTAAGTATGTATCTAACTAATATACCAAAATTCAACTTGTATCTGAATATGATTTTTAACAACAAATTCCAGCAAATCCATATCAACAAATTAAGAATTTTTTATAATGGGTAGAAGGAAGTCAAGCAGAAAACCACCACCGAGAAGAAAGAACATCGAAGCTCTGGACATTTTCTTTGATTGTCCTTTCTGCAACCACGAGAAGTCCTGCGAAGTAAAAATGGACAAAGGACGAAATGCTGCAAAAATATCCTGCAGGATCTGTTTGGAGGACTATCAGGCCTCTATAAATTTGCTGTCTGAACCTTTGGATGTTTACAATGATTGGATTGATGCTTGTGAAAATGCTAACTAATGCTAAACTAAGAATAATTTTGTGTTACGTACATATAAAAATTATTTATCATTTGTTTATTTATTTTATATTTTACAAAATAAATAAAAATAATTTACATAAAAAAAGAGATTTTTTTCCTAGAAGCTCCAAATGGCAGGTTTATTTAAGGAGGTTTGGGCAGTACATTTCGGAAAAAGTGGTTGCAAAAACAGCCAATTTTCTAACTGATTTTCTCATTATTTTTTATTTTTGTTTATTTTATAATTATTTTTATTATGTTGTAACACAAAAAAAGTATAAAATAGGATTTAAATGCGACAACATTGCGAGTTGTTAATAGTTTCTATGGTAACGCTTTTCTGTTTTAATAGTGACAGTTCTATATGCAGTGTTATTTTAAATCTACAAACTAGTTGTTAAAACGAATTAAGTTCACTACAAATTTATTTAAAAAAAGATATCGGAACAAAAAATAAAGCAATAGAAAAAACATGCAGTATGTTTAATGCTGAAAGTCTAGAGAGAAGATCAGAAAACTATTATTTATATTTGGCATGTATCGTACCGTTGCAACGCGTTGCCATGGAGACATGGGCTTATTATGATTTACAAATAGAAAAACAATACAATTGTGTTTAAATAATATAAAAACAAAATTATGGAAGTCACGAAATAAATAAAACCAAATACACTGAAAGAAATATATGTTTGTTTTAGCAATGTATGTGGTTCATATATGGACTACCACATACATTGCTAAAACAAACATATATTATATTTAGTTTTAACATAATATGTTAAAACTAAATATAAAAATGGTTAAGGTAAATATATTTTATGTTTCATATTTGGACTACCACATACATTGCTAAAACAAACATATATTTCTTTCAGTGTATACCTGAATAATCACGTGTTAGTAATCCAGTGTTGCCAGATCTTCTAGACGAGAATTTTGGTTGGACACAGTTAACATTATCGTTTATTATTGCAAAAATGTGCGGTGAAAATTAACAAACATATATATGGCAGTTATAAAGGCATAAGTGCATACGAGAAAAAAATCATTTCACGTTATAACATATGAATTAATTAAAACTTGGACTGTATAGGATATGTATTTAATTAACGCATGTCTTATAACATGACAATAAGAAATCGATGATTTTTTGTGTATGCAGTTATTTATACCTGTAAAAGTAGCATATAAATTGTTAATGTATAACTAGATAAAAACAAACATTGTTTTTTAAGGTTCACGAATTTATTTAAATTTTATTTTGACAATTGTTCGCTAACACAGTAGCTTCTTCAGAAATGATTTCAAACCTTTTCTAATAACAAACTTATATAACCCAGTTATTAGAAAAAGTTTGAAATCATTTCTGAAGAAGCTACTGTGTTAGCGAAACAATTGTCAAAATAAAATTGAAATAAATTCGTGAAACTCAGAAAACAGTGTTTGTTTTTATCTAGTTATACATTAGTACATGGAGTTTAATAAAGTAAAGGTCGAAACAATAAAATATATAAATTGTTGTTAATATTCACAATAAAGTTTGGCAAAATAAACGATAACAGCCAATTTTAATAATTTTTTACTTGAAAATGAGACGGTCAAACTTTATAATTGTCTCTACTCTACTGCAACCTAGAATTTTTTCAATAGCAACTAATATCGTGCCCAATCAAAAATTGATTTGATGGATTCCACAGCAAAACAAAATTTTTAGATAAAAATAATTCAATTTTTTTTATTACTTCCAACTAAACGTATTTGGAGCGTTAAAATGTGTTTAAATATTTAATTAAACTCATAATTGCAATTGTCCCTAACAATAGGGATTATCCTTTCAAGGAATTTGTGCACGTGTCCAGGCAAGAAAATGACGGAGTCGTCAGCAATAAAACTACACCCCAAACCGAATTAATAATGTCTTTTAAGTGTATGGTGATTGTTAAAGCTTTTTGACAAGCTCCTTTCAAATGAATTATTAAAAGCTTGCAGTATGCAAGTATTGATTTTAGGGTTAAAATTAATTTTGTCAAGGGAATAAATACGAGACATAACTTTGTCTGTATACAATATTACCGAGTCATTTAACTATTTAATAAATAGGATTTATACGGGGTAGTCCACTAAATTTAAAATAGTATTCTTTTATTTGAAAAATGATTATCATATATTATGTAGTATTAAATGTCGGCTCTAAAGGGTTTACCAATAAGCGCGTCTAATCGATTAAATAAAAAGACTTTGGTTTGAGGAAAAACATAGTAAACGGTTTTACTTATGAGCTTATATAGTGAAATTTTTTATTGAATAAAACAGTTCTACTCAATTTGTAAAAGTTTCAACTCATTTTTTAATCTCATCTACTAATTGGTTGAGAAAATGGATGGGACAAGCAACCTTTTGTAAAGTCCTGGACCTTCTCATTTCACTCTTAAGTAAAACACTTTCATAGCGGTTACATTGCCTTACAGTACGAGCGATTAAAAATGGTACTCCACAGTTGACAGTTTTATACTACAAAGTTAATTGTAAATGACTCTGTATAAATGAAGCATTTAGGAACATTACCTATTTATATGTTTTGCAAACTATAAACTAGCGCATCTTGCGCTAGTTTAGCTCTAGCGCCGGGGGTTGCCAGTAAACTGACAATAGAGTCGTGGAGTCCAGTATAGGTTTGTCCGCCGATAGTGACTGTTTTTTTATTATAGTATATGTTTAAAACAATCATATCGTTAACATTAATTACGCTGGACTTGGGTGTTTTCACCTAATGAATCCTCGTAAATATATAATTTAAATTATAAAAGAACAAACAATAGTCTGCGTATTCGGGCTCGCGCGCGTACATTTGCACTATCGCGCATATATTTGCGCTGTCGCGCATGTATTTGCGTATTTTTAATGATATATACATTTACCTTGCTAAAGTAAAGTTTTTTGCCTCAAATTGGAATTTTCAAAAAGAAGTGTCAATTTAAAAAAAAAAACAAATTACGGTCAAAATAAAAAAAATATTATAATATGGAAATCGGCGCTGCGCGCCTCTTTTCTGTTATTTTTTGGATAATATTTTAGTGGTAATTTTTGAAGACCCAGAAAAAACGTTATTATTATTTAAAATACAAAAAAAATAATTTACTGATGACACTCCAACTATTTTTTTGTTTGAAGGTTTAATTTTAAAGAACAAACAACATTTTTTGTTTATTAGGGCTCGCGCGCGTACATTTTTGCTATCGCGCATGTATTTGCGCTGTCGCGCATATGTATATGAGTGTATGAGTGAGTGGGTATAAACTTTTAATTAAAAGTGTGGAAATTAGTTTTTAATGTTAACAATTTAAAAAAATAACTTACCGATGATACTCCGGAAATAGCCGAATATTTTTGTTTGAAGTTCTTATTTTAAAAAACAACCAAAATCCTGTGAAATCGGGCTCGCGCGCGTACATTTGCGCTGTCGCGCCTGTATTTGCGCTATCGCGCATATGTCGTTATAAACTTTATGTGCAACAACTGAATTAAAGGTGTGTAAAATTTAAAATATTAAACAAAAACTTACCGATGACACTCCGAAAATAGCCGAATATTTTTTGTTTAAATGTCTTATTTTAAAAAACAACCAAAATTCTGTGAATTCGGGCTCGCGCGCGTACATTTGCGCTATCGCGCATAAATTCGCGCTAACGCGCGTGTATTTGCGCATATTTATACGTGCGTAAGTGGTTATAAACTTTGAAATAAAAGTGTGAAATTGGTTTTTAATGTTTACAATTTAAAAAAAAATAACTTACCGATGACACTCCGGAAATAGCCGAATATTTTTGTTTGAAGTTCTTATTTTAAAAAACAATCAAAATTCTGTAAAATCGGGCTCGTGCGTGTATATTTGCGCTATCGCGCGTATATTTGCGCTATCGCGCATGTATTAGCCCCTTTTAAATGTCATATATGTTTATCTTGCGAAATTAAAGTTGCTTCAAGTAAGAATTAAGTTGGAGTTGTTTTGTTTTTACAAAATAACTTGTCATAAAAAAACCTTTTGTTTAAGTCATATACATTTAATTTAAAAAAGTACACACAATATTATTTGTATTCGGGCTCGCGCGCGTATATTTGCGCTACCGCGCGTATATTTGCGCTGTCGCGCATGTATTTGCGCCTTTTAAATATTATATATATATCTTGCTAAAGTAAAGTTTAAAAAAAGCTTCAATGTTTTAATTAAAAAAAAATATATCCCAAAAACAAATAAAGATGGATTTGTTTTGTTTTCACAAAAAAGCATCAATTTTTTGATTACAAAAAAATCTTATCTTAAATTTTAATTAAAAAAAAGTCTCAAAATAATTATGATCAAAATAAAAAATATATAATATAAAAATCGGCGCTGCGCGCCTCTATTCTGCTATTTGTTACAATTGCGAATTTGCACATTTTTTGAAAATGGTTCTAAAACAAAGTTTGGATAATATTTTAGAGGTAATTTTTGAAGACCCAGGAATTAAGGTATTATTGTTAAAAAAATTAAAAAATATATACCGAGAACACTCGTACCAAAAAGAATGATCACACTCCGGAAATGGCCGAATATTTTTGTTGGAAGTTCTTATTTTAAAAAACAACCAAAATGCTGTGAAATCGGACTCGCGCGCGTACATTTGTGCTGTGGCGCCTGTATTTGCGCTATCGCGCATGTTTTTGCGCTGTCGCGCATGTATTTGCGCTGTCGCGCATGTAACTTACCGATGACACTCCGGAAATAGCCGCATATTTTTTGTTTGAACGTCTTATTTTAAAAAACAACCAAAATTCTGTGAGTTCGGGCTCGCGCGCGTACATTTGCGCTATCGCGCATAAATTCGCGCTGTCGCGCGTGTATTTGCGTTATATAAATGATTTATTTTTTACCCTTGAGACACAGGGTATCGCTAATCGCGAGCAAATATGAATACGTCAAATCTGACGTTTTTCAAAACAGCCGAAAAATCAGTTTTCGGGTTTTCCGAAAATCTTCCGGTTTTACAT